AAACGGACCTGGTGCTCTTTACCAGGAAGTACAAAATCCCCTCACTTCAGCTCCCTGCCACAGGCAATAAGATTCTGAAGCTAGGGGAGTCTGCAAAATATCTAGGCGTGGTCCTGGACAAAAAGCTTAACTGGGCGCAAAATAAACAAGAGCGTGTTAAAAAAGCGACGGTAGCCCTCTACAGCTGCAAGGGGGCGATTGGGCGTAGCTGGGGCTGTCCCCTAGCATCATGTGTTGGTTATACACGGTAGTTGCTAGGCCGATTCTATTATATGGGGTCTTGGTATGGTGGCCAAGTCTCAACAGGAAATCTACAACTGAAGCACTCCAAAAGGTGCAAAGAACTGCGATGCTCTGCATCTGTGGGGCCCTGCGCACAACTCCATCGGAGGCTATGTGCGTGCTCCTCGATATTTTACCAATTGAAATTGTTGGAAAGCAATCAGCGGGGTGTGCCGCCTTGAGGTTGAGGGAACTACCAGGCTGGAGGGACACTCAGGAAGGCCACACCGCAATCTTAAAGGACATAAATATACCGGACACGGATTACTGTGCACCAAGGTTGAACTTCACAAAGAGGTATAGGATTTCCATTCCAGATAGAAAATTCTGGTCAGGAGGGGCTCCCGATGACAATGGATCACTCCACCTCTACACCGATGGCTCTAAGCTAGACGGCAAGATAGGAGGGAGAGTCTTCTCAGCCCGACTGGGGCTGGAAATATGTTTTCGCTTACCCAACCACTGCAGCGTCTTTCAAGCTGAGGTCGCTGCCATACAGGAAGCGGTTGAACACCTACGTACAAGAGAAGTCATTTATAACGATATCTTCATCTACTCAGACAGTCAGGCCGCACTCAAAGCGCTCGACTCGGTCACATGCAGTTCAAAAACCGTAGCGGACTGTCGCAGATCTCTAAACGAGATGGCTGAGCAGTCTGCNTGAGCTCCACAAAATATGTAAAATGTGATTACTCAAGTCAATACAAACAAGTAAGAGCAGCGCTGTCTTCNGAATATGTAATTCATTTAAACAAAACATTTAAACTTGAGCTCCACAAAATATTTCAGGAATTGAAATGTGATTACTCAAGTCAATACAAACAAGTAAGAGCAGCGCTGTCTTCGGCTATACCGAAGGCTTCATACCTTTCATGAACATCTGCAAATTTTACTTTGACAGATTACTGCTTTTGAATACATCTGCATACATCGATAGAGGAGTTACATACTTATATAAAAAATCGCATCTAAACAATCAGAGGTAAGGAATAAATACTTTATATGGCACCAATCTAAGTGATTTTCACCGCTATGTGATCGGTATGTAAACCGGTAACACAATTTATTGGGTTTAGTTTCCTACATAAAGGAGATATATCGCAAAAACTGGTATCTGAAGAATCAGTGCTATAGGAGATAAAGCTTATACAGCATAGATTTTGACGATTTTCTCAGTAGACTTTGTATTATTATTTATAAAATATCTTACGAAATTTATCGGTTTTAGCTGTTCAAATAAAGGAGTTTTACAGTAAAATCCCATATCTGAACAATCGGATGTATGGAAGATATATGTTGTAGTCACCCGATCCTTGTTATTATCACTGCAAGTATTCTGTTAATAATGAGTGAAAGTGGTGCGAAATTTCATGTTCCGTGCTGCATAAATGGAGGAGTTATGATAGCTAAGCTTAAATGGAGGAGTTATCTGAACAATCAGTTGTATCGGGGCTGCAGGTTATACTGACCCGTTCTTATTTTCACTGTAAGTCTTCTGTTGATAATTATTGAAAAGAGTGCGGAATTTCATGTTCCAGCTATATAAATGGAGGAGTTATAACGAAAAATTTTATATCTGAACAATCAGTTGTATGGGAGCTATAGGTTATAGTGACCCGATCTTTGTAATTTTCACTGTAAGTATTCTGTTGATAATGGGTGCAAGTATTGCAAAATTTCATGTTCGTAGCTGCATAAATGGAGAAGTTATAATGAAAAATCTCATATCTGAACAATAAGTTGTATGGGAGCTATATGTTATAGTGGTCCGATTCTTCCGGTTCCGACAAATGATTAATACATTATAAAAATACACCCACCTACCAAATTTGATCCGGATATCTCGAAAACTGAGAGACTAGATTGCATACAAACAGACGGACAGACGGACATGGCTAAATCAACTCAGCTCGAAGTTCTGATCATATAAGTATACATTTTAATGGGTCTATCTCTTTTTGTTCTGGTACTTACAAACATCGGACCAAAGTTATAATACCATTTCATGCTAATGAAAGGTATAAAAATAGAACTAGAATCAATATTCTTTTTGTGGATGAAATTTCTACACACTTGGTTGAACAGGAAATTAAGCCGCGAAAGAAGAATATGTATTCTCGCTTCCTCTGCTTGCATTTCTCTATTAATATCGTTAATATTCTGTAAAATATATTTTAAAAAGTAAAAATACATCTTAAAAACTGGATCACGGAGATGTGTAGAGATAAATAAAAGGTTTTTATTACCATATTGGGACTCAAAGGAGTGGAGCTCAAAATAGTACGTTAAAGTTGTCCATGGCTCCAAAATTCGTTCAATGACTCCCTAAAAACAGAATATATAATAAGTATCACAAATTGGCGTAAAAGCAAATACACAAATTAAATTATTTACCTTCCTCGAAAGCCAGCGTGTTGGGGCATATTTCAATTATAGCATGCAGTTCGGTTCCGAATTCCGTTTGAAAGTTCTCAAAATCACCTTTCCTATTTGGGCTGTGAGAGAAGTGTTTATTAATATCACGAACAAGCTTCTCAATTCCTGTCGGAAGTGTCGCAGCAGCTGCTTCAGACGACAAGTTTAGACCGTGGCAAACGTGACCCTGTATTAGAATTTTTGGACAAATCTCTTTTAGTTTTGCCTGCACACCATTTGATTCCCCATCATTACGCTGCAGTTATCCGTTGTGAAGCCCAACATATGCTTGATTGGTACGTTATGACCGTTTAACACTTTAAGTAAAGCCTTAAAAGTACCCTCAGCTGACGAGTCGTTGACTGGCGCAAAATCAAGGAATCGATCTTGACACTTTACCCGGTAGACCCTTATAATAATTGCTAAATTTTTGTTCAAGCTAATGTCTGTGCTTTCATCGATAATAACAGAATAGTATTGCTTATTAGTTATATCGGAAATCAACTTGCAATTATGTGGACCGGTAACAGAATTTATTATTGTTTGCCCTTTGATTCTATTCGTTGTAAATTTTGCGATTATTTTGGAATCATTAACCGATTTCAAGCACTTGTTCAAATGATCCAAAGCAGATAATGGCAGATTGCGCTCTGCAATGAATAAGCTGAGACGAATCTCAAGCTGCTTTTGTAATCGGTATTTCAGAGGCTTCTGATTGAAAGAATTCATTTTGCCCCTTATTCTAATTACCTTAAACGAGCAATTTTTGTGTATATGTGTAATATACATGTATATGTATCCATAAGTTTCTCGGCAACGGCTCTAACGTAGCAAAATGAAAAATCGTTTTAAAATGACTTTCGAAGTTGTATTTCTTCCATGTGTCAAAAACTTTTTATTTGTCACGGGGAAAATACCGTAGAAATTATTTGTATCGTGCGAATATCTATAGAAATTATCAGGGTTTGAAAAACTGTTAGCACAGCGACAACAGCCAAGCATTTGCTTTTTTAAAAATTGTTGTTGCTTTGCTAGCCGGCAATTACAAGTACCTGATGAAGATCTTGCAGAAGTTATGAGCTCAGCCGACGACGCTTTAAAGGAATTTGAAGAAATGCGACAAGATGCAGAAAAAACTTTAATTTGCTTTTCGAACACGTAGAAGAAGTATGCACCAACCTAGGTACAGAAATCAAAGTACCGCGATACAGCAGTCGCCAAAAGAATCGCTTTAATGTGAAAACCGGAGACGCCGAGGCATACTATCGCATTGCGTTTTACATTCCCTTCCTTGATACATATATTGCTCATTTGAAATGCCGGTTCCTAAACCATAAATCAGTTTTAAATAATTTTAGTGTTTTGTTTCCAAAGTATGATTTTAACGAAAAAAAAACTGAAGAATTGTTTGCTTTCTATGAAAAAGTAATCGACTGCTCGAAACAAAACTTTNTACGGGATGTACATAGCTCAGTGGTTAACGCTTCTGACTTTGAACATCGAATTCGCAGGTTCGATCCCTGCTGAAGTCTAGAAAAAAGAAGTCTGATGAGGAGATGTGGTGATCTCCGAAATAGTGCTATAACTTCTACCGCTTAGACTTTGTTCCTTTTTCAATTTTTCCTAATAAACAATCGTGGTACAAAGCTCAATAAAAATGTTAAAAATAAAATGTTAACAAGCCACAATAACATTGACAAATGAAAAGTTTTATTTTGTCGGCCTTCGTGCATATTTGCTGGTTTTGGTGCAATATTGTTGCTTTTGCGTGAGAGTGTAAGGAATGTCGCATTTGTTTATTCATTTTGCTTTCTTTCGCGCTTTACACACACCTTTGTTTATAATCGACAGTCGCTTTCTTAGTGATAGCTGATTTTGCTAACTCAGTGGATTTAAAACTGTTAAGTTCAGCGCGGTTTCTAACCATTGAACTTCACTAACTAAGACCACTAGCTATTAAACTGCCAATTACTGTGAGCTTGAAACGTTTTCGTACAATACATTCCTAATTTCGCTATTTTTATTCTTTTTTAATAAAATTCGCTGAAAATGTCCTGTCTGTTCGAAAAATGTAATGTAAAAACTTCGCTGGTCATGTCCAAAGTGTAAAAAAACTGTTGTGGATCTCTGTAAACTATTTAGAACAGCTAGAAATGGATTTTTGGAGATAGGAAAAGAGCTCAAACTTCTCAACGAGAAGTTCAAGAAGTATGAGGATGAATTCAAAGAATTTAAATTATTAGATACTTCCTCCTCTCCTTCTCCTGGAAAAAGTCTTAAAAGACGTTGGAGAGGCATGGAAAATATTGTGTTTAATCCCGTCACTGTGGACCTTGATCTTCCGCAGAACCGCCCACTTTTGACTCCAGCTATGAACATACATATAAGTTTTAACACGGACTGAATCTCCCCAACCACGTCCTTCTTCTACTGGAGTCTCACTAAATTCATGTTCAACAGCTTCATCTCAACCCTCTACCACAACTGCAGCCGTCTCCGATTGCGTCAACACCGTTCCGAAAGAAATATTGTTGCTCCTTCCAAAAACTCCACAGCTACATCTCAACCCCCTACCACATTCGGAGCCATCGTTGCTCCTTCCAAAAATTCGAAAGCTGTACCGCAACCCCCTACCACATCTGAAACCGTTTCCGAATACGTTAACCCCGTCCCGAGGGATTTAATGGTTGTACCTTCCAAAAAATCGGTATTTGTATCTAGGGTTTCGAAAGATACCACTGTCGATGATGTGAAGGGGTATTTAACTTCCAGGCTGATAGCAAATTAGTTGCATGTACGCAAGTTCAGATTCTCGTATGAAAAAGCATTTATTCTCTTAAAATAGACATATCCGAGGACTGCTTTGATAGAGTAATGAGCCCATCTTTTTGGCCAAGCGGTGCCTTCATTCGCGAATTTGAATTTAGGTCTAGACCGCAAGGGCAAAATTTGGCTCAACTTCCGCCTTCCACCTCGGCATCAAAAACCTAATAAGTAACCTCACCATTAGCATCTACTACCAAAATATGAGAGGTTTGAACACAAAGCTATCAAGGTTACACTTGCAGTCCCATGATTTTGACTTCAAAGTACCGGTGTTTACTGAAACCTGGCTCAAGCCGAATGTTTTCAACCCCGAAATTTTGTGTCCTAATTATGAAGTGTTTCGAAATTACCGTTTAAATAAAAAAGGTGGAGGCGTTCTTAATAGCTGTCCAGATTTACCTTTCTTCTGAAGAAATTGAGTTCACTGACACCGATGAAGTTGAATTCCTCTGCGTTCGAATAAGGTATCATTCTAATAGCGTTTATCTTGTTGCTGCTTATATACTACCTAACTCGAGCCTTTCAGTTTATTTAAAACACTCCTCCTTACTGCTCTCTCTTCATGCCATGGCGAAGCCCTCCGATACTGTTATTGTCCTGTGAGTGTTTCTTGGGATCTAATAGATGGTATTCTAGTACCAAATTCCTCTCGTGATCTCTTCAATCAATTTTTGAACGATCTTTCAGACCTTAGTCTTTACCAGATCAACTCTATTAGTAATAACTTAGGTAAATGTCTGGATTTAGTTTTTGTGGACGATGTTTCCAACGTCACAATAGCCCTTAGTTATGCTTTGAACACATGCTGATTCTCACCACCCACCACTAGAATTGTCCTTGATCATGTTGCTTTACCAGTAAAAAATTTAGAGCGGAGCGTTACTCATTTAAAACAGCAGATTATAGTAAACTTAGGTTAGAGATATCGAA